AATTGTCAAATTATATTGCATGATTACTTAATATGTCAAACACTATACAAAAAGTTCAGGATACTTTTCATAGAATCATTTCAGAAGACAATTGTGTGTGTCACTTTTGTGACAATTCTTTGTGACTTCTGGACATTCTGAAAGTCATCTTACCCCATGAACACAATAACAAAGTCTAATAAGTTCCAACAATTTCGTAAATAGGCTCCTTCATGGAACAGGAGCCCATACGCTACTATCTTTAGGAAGCACTCCAGAGTGAAAATGATCAGGAAGATGTACTCCAGACTCTCCTGCAAGGAAACAAACAGTGTTAACGGCGGGAGTAATGGGGTGTAAAAGATGATACATTTTTTTTTAAAGGGTTATGTTTGTAATTTAATGGCAACTGTGATGGGTTTGGTCAATAAAAACTAAATCTGTATAAAGATCTGTTTAAACTGTACTTTTACAGTACTGAGATCAAATCAAATGCGCTCAGAACTGTCTCTGCATATAAAAGTCAACATGTAATCAAAATTCATATTTTATGGAACATACCAGTGTTTATTATAAATAATTATCTGTGTGTCAGTCAAAATCCCCTTCATCTTCATCAATCCCCTGATGGTGTTTACTGGCAAAAGGGCGGGACAACCTATCACTCACATGACATCACAGCAATAGACTGGTATGAAGTCCCTTTGTAGGCCAACCAGCAGTTAGCATCACACTGGTTCCCTCGACAGAATCCCAATAAGGGTTATATAGGCTTTTGGATTATCACAAAAACAAGCGAAAGTATCTTGAGCCAAAAACCAAAAACCCATTTAAAAAAACAAAACATTGACTTCAGGAACCAGAAGCACTAATGCTAAGTGTTCCACATTTTGGCCTACACATTTACATCACACCTGTACAACTATCAAACCACAAACATCCAGTCAATTCACAATGAAGAAAAAAATCAAGTCGCACCCTACATTTGTTCTTGTTCAAGAAGCTCTTGTTTCACTACTGTATACTGTATGTCACAATATGGAATAAAAAAACTAGCGCAACTCTTAAAGCTTTAAGCTTTTACTCTTAAAACTTTGCATATTAAGCTGGATTGGAAGAATATTAACAGTCTGTTGACTTTCTGAAGAACATTTCATGGAAGTTTTGTTGTTTCCACATCCTAAAATGACTTTATCGGTATATCTCAGAAGGGCTATTAGCAGCTTATTAGCAACTCACTGTCAACTACTTTGCATGGATGGTTTGTTCAAAAAAACAAATGCAAAGTGGCTCTAAAACCCAAACCTTAAAATTTGCCAAACCAAACAACCTTCCTCAGATGTGAAGTGAGGATCTAATCTGTATGTATTACACAGCACACTGCTTCTCATTCTACACTACCAGCCCATATCAAATTAATAATTCTGACCATGTCTGCGATCCACTCTCAGCTCCTCTTTCATGACTTAGTATGTAAGGAATGGATGACCCACACCGACAGTCACTGTAACCCCAGGGGAGTAAATAAGTGACTGGGGCTCAGATTTGTTCTGAAAGAGGAGAATATGACCGCACACGCTAGTGGAAAGAATATGACCTTCATACCGCCAATGAAGCTTGAGTCATGAAACAAGCTTGTGTAAAGAGGATTTACTGTATCATTCTTTTTAAGTGTTTAGCCAAAGCCAAAATGGTTACACATAGGAAATTAGTTTTGGCACCTCTAGACTTTAAGTCAACAACAGCAAAGTTCTGTGGCCACATGGGGTAAATGATTTCATGATCTTGCAAGTCTGTTCTTGAGTCATGTCAATAAAATCTATATTAATGCGTCATGAAAAACCCCCTCCCAAGATTTGAGTATATTTTTAAACACCACACTTGTACCTTTGGACGTGCACATCTCAAACCAAAAACTAAATATAAAACCCACGACACAAAACACCACCTGCTAGCATATTTCCAGCTCTAAAACATGTTCTAAATTGCATTGTTGGTAGGCCTATATTAACTTAAACTTGAAAAGAGCTTATTTATGTAATCATAAATCCAAAGGAATCCAGTGCAAACTGGTTCAAACCCCAACTGGGAGAAAACTTGTATCAGTTTCAAAACACATGTGCTTTAAAAGACCTATATATAGGCAAAGATCTGAGCAACACTTGATTTTGGAAATTGAAATTTCTCAGATTATCTGGCAACACACCATGACCCGTCTGGGGCCCTTTAATCCAGTGGTGGCATTTATTTGCAAAATGAGTTGATGTATCACTGCAAATTACAAATTGAAGTTATTAGGGATTATTCGTTAACCTATAGTCTCCTATGGTACGTGTAATTTAAGAACATCTCACCAATGTTAAGTTAGTGTTGTTGGTGTCCTCTTCAGGCATAGGGAGAAACACAGCCAGAGCTACACAGTTCGCAAAGATAGTTAGCAGGATAATGATCTCAAAGGGTCTGATGGAGTCCGCTCAGGAAAATATTGGGCAAACATGGCACAAACTAACATGGCAATATTGGGCAAACATGGCACTGGAAAATTGCAGTAAAGATTTTCACATTCAACTTTGTGATGAATATAAGCAGGTCTTGCATAAAGTACATTTAACCATAAATTAACAGTTGGCCAGTGCTAAATACAAGTTTTTAAATAAAAGAAAGGGATATTGGACAGTTATTTGGTCAGTAAATTGCAATCAAGGACTCACTAATCAGATTTTACATCAGAATAAATATTTACTAGGACAGAATATAATATAATAAATATACAAAATAGGCTATATTTATTAAATAAAAATACATCCAATATTTATTAGAAATGTATTTATCATGATATAGTTTCATGGCCAGTAAGAAGTATTTCTGAATTTGGCTTCAGAATTTAGAAATACTTACTAATCGTCTATCATTGCTGAGTTTAAACTGTACACTACATGTAGCCTGTAACTGTAATTCTTAAAAACAAAAACAAAACTAACTGTAATTCTGTGTGCATTTCTGCCACTAGGGGGTGGAATCAGAATTTCCCTGCCAGGTCAGCATCATGTTGATCCTACACAACAGCTGTACACAGCCAGATCATTATTAATTTGTATGACAAATAGCTCCAAAATTACACCTCCTATTCACACTTCCATTTATATGCCTCTTACTTTTGAACTAATCAATTAAAAGTTTTCAGTTTGTAAAGCAAATATTTACTGTAGGGTTTTGTCTCCAAGGGTGATCTCAAAAGAGGAAGCAAAGAAGCCGCTTCCGAACTTTTTTTATTATTGCAGCACAGCCGATTCTTGTTCTTAGGTGTAATTTAGGAACTTACAGCTATGAAAGAGACTGCATTCTTACAAATACCTTTATGAGCATTTAATCATTTGCATATCCAAAATTGCCAATCTAAGTGCTGAAAACACTATGGCCTGGACAAAGCTGTTATAAACGTGTCTTACAAAAATATATTACTGATCTGAATCTTGAGAGAAAACAATGGCACTGACATATTTAAAGATATCTCAGTGCAAGTTGCTTACAGTTAAACCAGCTCAAACACACATTAGTCTGGGAAGCCGGGGGTATGAAGCCATGTTAAAACAAAACAAAAAAACTGTAAATTAGGACAATTAACACTAGTTTAAAGTCTTATTAATAGATTTTTGCTGACTGGCTGTAAATAGTCCAGGGTTTATCGTTATCATCTTCCAAGTTGAGGCTGGGAACTACAGCTTCCAATTGACCGTGTTGAGTCTGACACATAACAAAAGCTTAACACCTTTAGATCACAACTGAGACAGAGATTTCTGCACCTTAAGAGACACTAAACCTGGGGATTATGAAAAAACAACTTTGCCTCTTTTATTTTCTCCACCTCAAAAATCAAGATATCTTTCATGGAGCAAATATTTCACTATGGTTTTGTTAAGCATTAAAAAGCTGAGTAAGACAAAGCCGTGGCTGTGGGCTTTTTCTGGCATGCTAAACCATCTCTCTCTGGGGGATGGATGCCTTTCTAAAACATGCCTATCTCAGCTCACGATCCAATAACATAACTAGATGAACATCAAACCACAATCCAAAGCTTTATTTAAAGGGAATGAAGAACTAAAAATCAAGTTAGTTTGAAGGATACTTCCATTCCACAATGTTGATGCAGGTCTTGCGGAAAGGGTTTTTGAGCGTGAATAAGAACAAGGAACGCGGAGGTCGAGGGTTTCCTCCAGTGGCCAGCATTTTCTTGATCTTCTCCCTCTGCTTTCTCTTCAGTTCTTCTTCATTCATGATGAACGAGGCCAAATCGGCCACCCCACCACCACCGCCGCCGCCACCTGACTCCATTTTGAATCTCCCAAATGCAAAATCTTCTTATTTTCCACAAAGTGTGATGGAAATTCACCCAAAAACCTGAAATGAGATTCCTAGTTTAACAAATCCTTGATTTCCTGAAGTCCAGGTCAGATCTTCAGCATGGTCCTAAGCCTCATCCACCATCTCACACCTCTCTGAGGAAGGCACAGTCTACCTTCTTAGCCCTGGCCCGTGCTGCAAACCTACACCAGACAAGGAGGCATCAGAGGGGCAGGGAACATTTTGGCACAGCTGGCCCCTTCTGAGGGATATATATAGACAGGCAGTCAGTGTCCATTCTTGGGGGTGTGGAGGCAGGTGGAGGAGGGGAAGGGCGGCCTTGGGGTGCAGCAGATGAAGAAAAAAAAGAAAGAAAATGAAGTATCCATAAGAAAATTTCAGCTGCTTTTACAACAGATGAAATATGCCATTAAAAGGGAGGAAAAATTAATAATACATTGTGTTATTGAAATATCCAGGCTTATTTACTAGGTGGTTTACTGTATGAAACAGCAGATGGGAATGTTTACAGGATCCAATGTTGGTGGTTTCCAACTAAATATATCTCACCACTGGATTTAACGTCAAACTTTGAGTTACACTCATTATGTGGCAATAGGAGGACTCAATTCTATATGTCTTTGTGAACTTAAGAAAAAAACTGTACAAAGAAAGCTGACAATATTCTGACAATATTTAATATTTCAGTGCATTTTCACATAAGCAAGAATGTTTCAGCTGTAAAACAGCAACAAGTATTTTGGATACACACTGGAATGAAATTCTTGTAGCAACAAATACGATAGTCAAGCACATTTTTAGGGTGCGAAATCAATATTATTGGACGTCTGTAAATCAGACTATTCAACAAAAGTGGCAATCATCTAAGAGGAAGCTTATGAGGATACCACTCAACCATAACAACCACTCAAACCCTTATTGTCTTCAGTCTTACGAAGAGTATATACATCTTGAAATAAGGTACAATGTGCCATTTTTTTAAAGAGATATTCTAGAGACATATAAGCCATAATTAATGGTATTATCAAATGGCAAAAATTCCACCAATAATGAAAATCATTCAATACATTTTCTTGGTACCTCAAGGTGAAACTACAGCAGTGCAATGACATTCTACCCATTCATACGTGCATCTATATTAGATTGCATACAGTTCCATATCAATGCTCCCAGATTACATTGTTTTTATTGCAATCTCATCCTTTGCAATGCAATTTCAAAGCAAAGTAGTGGCAGCACTGATATATTCAAGTTATTACGTGAGAAATGTAAAGGTGACCGCTGGAGTAAGACAAACTGGGGCTGACTGATTCCCATCATTTATGTTAACAGCAAGCTACTAAACCTTTTCACAGCAGCAGTTTGAAAGCGGAACACAATCAAGTCAGCCTTCGTGCAATTAAAATAATAATAAAAATACACAAGCATCAGACCAATTGAAAATACATTGCCATAAAAGCTGAAATTGTAAGACAAACATAAAAATTTTGTCTCAGTCAGTGGTGCCCATTTTGTCCTTTTCCCCAGCTGGAATCTGAGGACTTAGCTGAGCAGCTTGTGGCGATCAAACACAGTCTTTCGCTGCTCCTGGACCTGTTTCTTCCAGCGCTGCTGAGCTCCCTCTACCCTCTCCAGCACCGTGTTCCCACGGCCATCCACATGCGGCCTCACGTCCTGTCGGGAACAATGTGCACAATTAATATCTAAATCTAACAAATTGTCAACAAAAATATGAAGTATGGCACACATATTTTCTTTAGTTAAAATACTGTTTTATCATTAATAACATTTACTTGTTAAATAGTAATACAATTACTATTTTTGTTAGTTATTAAGTCAGTGAGTGAGGGACCAAATCGGAAAATCTGTTTGTTATGTACATACACATTCAACAGAAATGTGTCTTCATTTTTGTGACAGTGTGTGTGACCGACTTGTTTCTAAGCAATGTTGTGCAATTTAGAGAAAATATTTCCCAATGTTATACCTAAAGATTTGTTTTGCTCACAAATATTTCAGTTTGAGGACATATTTCAGATGAGGACATACCTCAGAATCCTCCTCGTTGTGCAGTGGAATGGTGTACTGATCATGTTTGCGGATCAGAGGATCAACTAGAAGCAGGAACAGCATGTAGAGAAGAAGAGCCCCAACCACTGACAAGTAGATGATAATGGTCACCTAGGAAATATACAAAAATATCAAAGTAGACAAGAGTACAGTATTTTCTTTCTTTTCTTTTGTGAAGTATATCCTACTGAAACGGCATCTCGAACAAGAATATTTGACTTGATTTTGTCCTTCGGGAATTGATTGGATTGTTGTGGTTAGCTATTGCTGTGATGTCATGTGAGTGACAGCACTGCAGAAAAATTATGTTCATAGCATTTTTGTTTCCAGTCCAAATATCAAACATTTCTTAAATCAAGATGCATTTGCTAAAGTAGTAAAATGGCATAAGATATTAAGTCTTGATTTCTAGGGAAATAAATAAAAATTGAAACAAGCAAAAATATCATATCTGCCAATAAGCTGATTTCATGCAGCTGCCATTTTAAAATCGAAAGCGAAGCTCCGGTGGGAAGAATCCCAGAAGTACAGATAGACCACTATGTCTTGGACTACCAACCTGAAGCTGCTGTCGCGATTTAAACTATTAGATGTTAATATCCAATATAGGATATGTATATAGTTCATTCCTGCTTCTTTTTTATTTTCTGAATATATATTTAAAAAATGTATTTAGAAATTTATAAATTTCACTGTATATTCTAAACTATGAAAGAAATGTATGTACATTTTTAGAATAACAAATGTCTACATTAAACACAACAATACACCATCGCATTCGCGACTCTCCTATGATTTAAAGCGACACTTCCGGTTTTCTTCCCACCTGCGTGAAATCAGCTTATGGGGTCAGAAAAATTAGCTTGTTTCTGTTTGAATTAATATTATTTTTCTTACTCCATTGACAGATCATTTTGCTTTTTTAAGCATCAGCTCACTTCATTTTGATTAATTCCCCCGGAAAACTGGACATAATATCTTACTTATCTAGTAAATGCTTCTTGATTTAAGAATTTTTTGATATTTGGACTGGAAACAAGACTAAAATAATAAGTAATAAAAGCATTTTTTTTTTTTTTTGCAGTGAGGTTGTCCCATCCTCAAAAGGCAAGAATGCTGCTTATAATAAACATATCTTTAATTTTAAGTAGAATTTATTGATTGTTGGAAGTCGCTCGATACCTTGATGGTGTTGCTGCTTCGTTCTTCATACTTGCACTCACAGAGCAGACAGTAGGCCTCCACATCATGGCCAGGCACTGGCATGGGCTCCACCACATGCAGACAGTTACTACAAACCAATACATTAAAAAAAAAACTCAGAGAAAAAAAAAATCTTATAAGACAGTTTTTTTCATCAATATATAATTTCCTTTACAGACAACACAGGTCTATGCAGATTCTCACCAGTCTTTCTGGGTCACATTTCTTTTGTAGATATGTCCACTGATGTTTCTGTAAGGTGGACAGATGCACTTGCAACGCACATCTTCAAAACTCTGTGTAAGGAACATATTACGTCACATGTTTAGGTAATATTTGACATACCGGTGAGTGGGAAAATATAAAGAGCTTGATGATGTGTCAGGGTATAATTAATTATAATATTAATTAATATACAATTGTACCTTATCTGCATGTGCGATTGATTTCACATCTATGAGAACAAGAAACAGCAGAACGAGTGCTGGTGCTCGAAGATTTTGAGCAATGCTGGATGACATGACGCCTGCACATAAACATAATTTACTTTATTTATTATTTTACTGAAGGAAATAGCTTAAATTGAACTGGGACAATTAAAGCAAAAAAAAAAAAAAAAAAAAAAAAAAAGACTAGAACTCGGTTGAAATTCTTATTCATGTTGGATCTAAACAATAGTCCTAATCAGTTTGTATATTGAGTGGCTTATGCAGCATTTGTAAGTTATAAAGCTGATAGACACCCGAGGACACAATCAGTTTAGGCCTTTTCCCATCTCTATTGCGTATTTAAAGAGAAAATTCTATTAGATCTTTCAAATCAAATGTTTACGCTAAATGTTACATGCGCAACTGCAAACGTAAAAATAAATACATATACGCACCTTTAATATTACATCAATGGCATGCCCATCAAAACATATGTTGACTTTTTCCGGAAGTTGAGGATTGTTTCTGTATGTCACGTGATGCTAGATCCCGCCTTTGTGACCGGTGAAAGGCAAATTAAAAGACTTCGCAGTTTTATTACGAACTGAAATTAAATAACGTTATTTATTTGTTCCATAGAAAAACAAACTCGTGATGTCTTTATGAATTGTAATACATCCAATTTATATTATAAAATAGAGATAATGAGCATATTAATAACTACTTATTGACTGCACTGTACACAATAAGAAACGCAGACTTCAGATTTTGTAACAACCAGAAAGGTAATAAATCTGCAAATGGAAAGCTAATCTTTTGATTATACATAAACCCAACCAGAGAATGTCACTATGTTCAAACTTCACATAAAGAGTTTACTCTGTCTCTATTGGTTTCCCAACCTGTCACTCAGACTGTGCCGTATCCAATCATCGAGCAGCCTTTTAATCTTATAATTTTGGCGGCGGTCGGAAGATGGCGGAAAATTTGAAAGGTAAGAATGTATAGTTTAATCGTTCAGAAACAACGGTTTACTCAATATATGTCATCTCTATTACACGCGTGGTTCGTTAAATTATGTCTTTTCAAAGAAACCCCTGAAACAAGACTCCGTTTTGGAAGAATCTTTGCTGCAAGTTGTTGATACAAACTCACATCGATGGTCGATGTTATGGCCACCGCGCGCTCACGCAACACATTCAACAAGCTCATTGAGAATGCCTTTACTCATCTATCTTTCTTGCATTGGCTTTGTAAAGTTGTACAACGTTACAATTGATGCAAAAGTGTGTACATTCAGTAGTTAGCAAGCATAATTTTCAGTCTTTAGCTAGTTAACTTACTCCGTATGTTTGAACACTGGACGCATGAAAAAAAAGCACATTTCCTCTCAACATGTACGCCTCTGTCGTTGTCTACCCATTATTTAGGTTTACATCTCATGTCTGTTCTTACATATTACGTTTAGTCTTAGCCAGTTTAAATGGCCCATTGTTTAGGGATGACGCATGTTTGATTTCCAGTAAGGATTTTTTTTATCTCAAACTGGCAAAATGATCCAGTTATCTGTACAGTATTTTAATAAATGTTTTAATAAACGAACTTTCATGCTGTTCTGTGGCGATGTGTGGTTTACTGCAGTCTTTCAAGCTTTTCAGTGAAAAGAATCATGGGATAGGGGTCTATGATGATGATGATTCCCTTGTCAGAGAGCCCCCTTCCTTCAATATATGCAGTTATATATTTTAATTTCTAAGGACCTGTTTAAATGTGTCTGGGAAATTATGTGAAATAGTCAAATCAATTAAATTGGCTTTTGCTTGTAAATTGTACTGAAGAATGTTAAAATATTTTACTGACAATATTTGCAATTCAAGTTTAGCAACATCTTTTTTTTAACCCAATATTTGTTTTGAACAGTACTGTGCGTATGTATATATTACACTCAAAATTCATTTGGTAAAATTTTTGCTGGCTTTATGCACAGCTGCACTACTTCCTGAAAATAATCAGACACACCTGAATTAATCAAGTTTGCCCAATAATGGCAGACAGAAAACAAGGAGCTGGCTTAAGTTCAGGAAGTAGTGCAGCTGTGCATAAAGACAATTCTCGGCAGACTCCTAGTTTAAAGGGATGTGGACTTCAGCTATTTTCTGAATTTATTTTTAGAATTATTTTCATGTTTTGAAAAATGTTTTGTTTGACAAATTTCATCAGGCGTTTTCCCTGCAATTAACATCTAATTGTTCTTGTAGGTGAAGTGTGTATGGTAGCATGCATTTCCAACACAGACCAGCTGGAAGTGATCTGTCGAGAGCAGGGGGTGGTATGCGGCGACCTAGGCATCAACAAGAACAACCTGTGCGACTTTGAGGTAGAATACCTTTGCGACTACAAAAAGAAAGTTATCACCGATGGAAAGACACAAACCGTACAGGTGAGCATAAACCTCTGGCTTGTAAGTGGTCTCCCATTAGCGGTGGGTGATCAGAATATTATTTTCACGATATGAGAAATTTTATTGCATGATATAACAATATATATCTCAATATAGCCTAGTTATTTGTGTTATTTTAAAACAAGAACAAAGAAGCAAATTACAAACAATAGGACAGATATAGCCTAATAGAACAAAGATACAAATTAAACGTTGTAAGAGATACTCCAGAAATTGCATAATAAAATGTAAAAACACTGCACTGTCTTCACTGTATGAATTAAATATAAATGGATGCTTAAAGGTGCTAGCTATATGTATTTTTTAGTGGCCTCTATCGGTGATGTTTCAGATTGCAACCAATTTTTACAAGAGCACTCATGCTCTTGCGCGCTGGAACACAAGAGCGAGCACTCACGGTACACCTTTTAGACCAGGCTCAACCATTGACCCAATAAACTAATACACATCCGATTTTCTTCCAACTGTTTAGGATCACTTATGCCTGTCTTGATTTTGTTTTTGGGGTGTACTAGAGTAATTAGAATATGTTTTCATGCTTGATTGTTCAAAAACATAGTATTTTTACATAATTACAGCTCCTCTCTCCCAGTCTGTCCCGAACGTGTTGTCAAGTTTCAGTTTTGATATATATATATATATATATATATGTAGTGAAAGTAAATTCTACTACATGAAGGGTAAAATGAGTTTTATCAAAGAAAACGTGTATCCAGATCTAAATGCATTTAAGTTCACTACAATACCTGTTACCCCCTTCACAGGAGTTATATTTGGTGAAATGGAAGGGGTTCCCTGAATCCAGCAACACATGGGAACCTCGCAAGAACCTGAAGTGCGTGGATCTGCTCAACCAGTTCTGGGAGGACCTGAATGTGGAGATGCAGAGACAGAAGAAGCGTTCTGCCCCTCGTCGTCTTGACCCTGCTACCGTGTCACAGCTCATCCAGCGAGCGAAACTCCGGCAGACCCTTAAAAAGTGGGAGGTACACCTCAACAGCTTGGGCGCCCACAAGGGCCACATCTATGTCCGAAACATGGTCGACCTGGAGGGCCCGCCTAAGAACTTCACCTACATAAATGACTATAAAGTTGGGGATGGGATCATGCTGAATGAGGTGTCTGTGGGCTGCGAATGCACAGACTGCCTGGGTAACCCCGTGGAGGGCTGCTGTGCCGGAGCATCACAGCACAAGTTTGCTTACAATGAGTTAGGCCAGGTCCGCATTCGGCCCGGGTTGCCCATTTACGAATGCAACAAGCGGTGCCGCTGTGGGCTCGACTGCCTCAACAGAGTGGTGCAGAAGGGCATTCGGTATTCCCTCTGCATTTTTAGAACAGACAATGGCAGGGGTTGGGGTGTGCGGACCATGGAGCGCATTCGCAAGAACACTTTCGTCATGGAGTACGTTGGGGAGGTAAGAAGCACGGAGGCTTAAGTCATATAGTTACTGGATCAGATATTTTTGGTTTAGACAAGTGGTTAATTTTGATCACTTTCAGTTGATCATTGCCATGTAATCATGGGAACGTGTTTTGCTTTAGTAGATCAGTGATATTTTCAAGCCAACAATGTTTTCAATTTCCTTGTGATGGCTGATTGGCTGTTAATAAGTCTGGCTTCATGATTGGTAAAATCTTTTTTTTCTTCTGTTTTTCTTTAGATCATTACGACAGAAGAAGCAGAACGCAGAGGTCAAATATACGATAAAGAAGGCGCCACCTACCTTTTTGACCTGGATTATGTGGACGACGAATACACTGTGGATGCTGCTTACTATGGAAACATCTCCCACTTTGTCAATCACAGCGTGAGTGGACTTGAGCTTGCATCTACTTGAAATAGACATGAATTAAATCGTATATTTCCCTAAAATGTCAGCAATAATCACGACACATTTTACTTGACATCACTTAAACTGTAGCTTGTCATTTAAAGGCAGTAAATTAATTTTTTTTTTTTTTTTCGTTTGTGTCCTCAGTGTGACCCAAACCTTCAGGTATATAATGTGTTTATTGATAACCTGGATGAGCGGCTGCCACGGATAGCGTTCTTTGCCACACGTGGGATAAAGGCAGGAGAGGAGCTCACCTTTGACTACAAAATGAAGAGTATGTATGGGACTGTCACTGTGTAGAAAAAAGTAGTCTGCAACTTGACAAGTGATTTGGGGTCATTCATTTGGGCTTGATACATACACTACTGTTCAAAAGTTTGGGGTCAGTCAAAATGATTACTTTTATTCAACAATGATGCATTCAATTGATCAAAAGTGACAGTGACATTTATAATTTTAAAGTATCTCATTATGTAAGAGTTATATTACAGATAGATGTGGTTATTTTGAACTTCATATTCATATTCATCTATTACTCAGGGATGTGATTCTTCCAGATTAATCTGGAATTCCAGTTATTTCAGCCTAAAATCATGACCCACATGAATCATGCAGATCACTCAGTAATAAAAATAAAATCAGGGCTGTTTGGAAGTTGTTCACTTGATTTCAAAAACACATTTCAGATTTAACAAACAAACAAAATTAATTTCAAAAACTCCGAAGCTGTTCAGTTAAGCTAAAATAAACTGCATAGGATCCCTTTAAAAAGTAAAAAGTGCTTTACGTTGGGTCTTTAAAAAAAAATTCCTGCTTTTTTTTCACTCGCACTATCACATGCCTGACTACTTGAGAACCAAATCACTATATTAGAATGATTTCTGAAGGACACTGAATAATGCCTGCTAGTGGTCGACAAATACTGTTTTTTTGATTGCCGATCTTAGAGAGCAGGGTGGCCGATATAAAGTCTATATATATATATATATACTTTATATTTATTTTAATCAATATTTAATATATTAGAAATAAATTACTAACAAATCCTTAAAATAAACATGCTAATACTTTAGAGTGCAACTTCTTGAATCTGCAATCATATTACAGTATTTTTCACAAATAAAGTAATTGTTTAAAAATATATGAATATGTGAATAAAAAGGAAGTAAACACTGTAACAGAGCACACAGTAATCTGGTAATTTCGTGTGCACTTGTAATCATATTTTTTCAAATAAAGACAGGGTAATGCTAATTTGACATGCAGCACACAGTGAAAACGATATGAATATGACACAGTGGGCAACTTTGCTATAGCACAGCATATTTTAAAAGAAAAAATATGCTTCATTCAGAATTAAAATCAAGTTTTTCGACCGCGTCTCCTGTGAAGCTGATCTTCTGTTCACATTCACTCATTTTGCACGGACTCGCAGTAACATGTTTATGCGGGCTACAAATGCACACTTCATATCACATCTGGATTCAATTAAATCAGCAAGGTTTGTGAAATTAAATGTTTATTAGATATTCAGAGCCCTGTGCGTGAATTTTGTGAACCGTTACACCCTTAATTTTAAAATATATTTGAATACAAAAGTTATTTTAAGTTGGAAAAATATTTCACAATATGGCTATATTTTTGATCAAATAAATGCTGCCTTGGTGAGAAAAAGAGACTTCTTTCAAAAACATTAAAAGAATCATACCAAATTATTGAATGATTTGAAGTTAAATCTAATTTTTCTTTCTCATTTTCCCCATAGTTGATCCAGTAGATGCAGAGAGCACGAAGATGGATTCTAATTTCAGTCTGACGGGACTCCCAGGATCCCCTAAGAAACGTATGCGCATGGAGTGCAAATGTGGGGTGGCGACATGTCGAAAGTACCTCTTTTAGAGGATGTTCATGCTGGAGAGGGACTGAAAGAAGATCATGTGTTCAAGTGAATATGTTTGAAAGCATCTGCAGTTTAGAAACCGTTTTGGCAGGTGTTTTGTAATACTTCATTGAATTTTAAGTATATATTTAATTTTTTTTTTAATTTCCCCGAGATACATTTCCCCTCAGAATTGTTGTCTGCTTTAAATATTGTATAAAATGTGCCATTAATCTTTCGATTTTTCCGTTAGAGAAGATGTGTAAAGTAAAAAAGGGGCTTTTCAGTAATTGTTTTAAAAGCATATTTTAAATCATATCAAAGTCTTTGACACCATGGATTTCTTACACAAATGATTTGAAAATTTTAAATGTTTAAAATGGTCATATGTTTGATTTAGGAGGGGTTCTTTTTACTTTTTCAATCAAACTTGTGTAGTATAACTTTTTGGCCTGTTTTTAGCACATATATTTAGACCAGTGTGAAATATAACAACATTTTCACTGTCCTTTTATTTTTTTTTTGAATGACTTTAAATTACCACCAGGTGGCAAAATTGTACTATTAATGCACAGAAGAGAAATTTGTTAGACAGAGGGAGGTGAACCTACATGAGATGTTGCCTTTCACGCATACTAAATGTTATTCTGTTTTATGTGAATATAGTCTAACACTTGACAAAATATATTCATACTGTCAAACTGGTCTTTCATTGAATGTATTTGAGAGATGGACTTCATGGATGCATAAATGAGTGTGAGTGCTTGGTTATTTCACCAATCTGTCTGATGACTATTCAGGGTTGTTTTTCCAAAATGTCACATGAACCAAGTGTGGCAGTTGTTTCTTGTCTACTTGTGCTTGCAATATTTTTGGGGAAAAAATGCTCAGGTGGTTTTTCAGAGCTGGAATGTGGCTGTAGATTGACGATTCATACATTCTGGATTAGTTTATGCTCGGGAACATTTCCTTATTAAATTCACAATTTTATAACTATCCACAACCAAATCTGTGCATATGTATATATATTAAGACTACAACTTGTTATTTTTATGTTTTGTATTAAAAAGAATCGAGTTACTTTGTCAGACCTCACATTTATCACTCACTCGTGCATGTGCAACAAACTTTGTCCTTGCTTATTAAATCATATGAGTTCTACAGCTCTGTGAATATAACTTCACTACCAAATTTGGATTTATTCCAATTTGGATAATTTTACTGAAATGGACAGCAAGCTTGATTTTAACATTAAAGGACTGCTCACAAAAAAGCTCTGAAATAAATTGGTCAGTTTCATCAGTTATATAGACTTTTATTTCTACATTGACAAAATACATGTGAACATATATGTTATTGAGAACAGAATGTGTTCACAACCTTTTTTGCACATTAATTTAGTGAGATCCCAAAGGCTAAAGTTTTTGGATGAATGGAACCAAGTGTGTAAGATTTTTTTCAAGGAAAAGCTCTAACTTCTCTACTTACAATGGTGTTTAGTCACCCGGTAACCTGATGCAGTGACTTCAATGCAATGCGTGACCTTTTGGGGTGACATCAGAGGCTTAGGGCACGCTTCTAAAGAGCACTGCAAAAGGAAATGCTTTTTAACCCTTTAGGAAGCAGATGGGTGCAAAATTGTTGCATACTCTTAAAGCTTAACATTTACTTATATATAGTGTGTAATCTAGGTTACAAAATGATCACATATATCATCAAACACAATTTCACAGTGTCAATAGGTGAATACATATACAAACTTAGTATCTTAGTATCTCAAAATACTCCATAACGAGATGCTCTGTTTAGATTTACAGACATCTACAAATTCAATTCCTCACTGAGAACACATTGTGGAATAAGCAATACCTCTGATATAACTACACTTAAAACTCAAACTTTCCTATAATTCTTATCTAAAATACCCTGCACCATTTGTCCAGTCTTGCCTCATTTCTTATCACACAAAACTACTCACCATCAAGCCATCCCACTCACAAATGACTCCAAGTTTGTATAAAAAATGACCAAATGCAGTCTTTAGGGGGCCAGTAGCTATTATATGTAGAGAAACTAACAAAAAAGACACATTTAGTGTATGAATCAATGAGCTGAGCCACATTTCCAATGACCAATCATGTATGACGTAATTCAGCTAAAATACACACTGCTTGCTCAATCTATTATTTCCGATTGTATATTAACCACTGCAGATTGTATACTATTAAGTCTGAATGATACTCAATACATCAAGCAGAAATTAACCAACTCTCACTCTACTTACAACCACATAAACACAAATATAACAGCATAATAATGGTTCTTTTTTCTTTCTTTTCTCTTTGGAATTTCTCAAGGCACTGGGGAGAAAGGAAGAAGGTAAAGACTTAAGGCTTTTTGAGAGAAGCGGATGGAAGGGGAAAGAAAACTGGCACAGAAATTAGAACCAGAAGGATAGCAGGAATAATCCCACATACAGAAAAACACTAGGCTCTCGAATCCCAACAGCCAGGCAGATAACAGCACTGAAGAAGGTCACAGAGGCCATAAGACACGTGTCCAAAGTAACCTCAGTCTGATCCTTTGATATTTGAGATAGTTCAGAACCGGTTCTTGGCAGTGCGTGCTGGGTTTCAGAGTTTTTACATGTCTGATCATGTGGAGCAGTGGAAGGTTCATCACCCCGACAAGTTAAATCATCTTCTGCTGAAGAGTGAACAGTTGAAGGTAGAAGATCATAGTCTGTTGGTGATGTTTCAGAAACGCTGACCAGTTTTGGCTTTTCTTGTTTGCTTGTTGGATGTTCTGAAGTACACATGGAAATTGTTTGGTCGTCAAGTTTTGAATCCTCATGGAGGGCCGCGTCGATAACACATGGATCCAAAATAAATACTTCTTCTTGCTGAGGTTGCACGATTGCTAGTTTATCAGACATTTTTTGGATGAGTACACTTTGGGTTTCTCTGTTCCGTCTTGTGGGACCTAAATGAGAGGGAGACAAACAGGAAGCCACTAAAACATCTGTTTCCTCGTCATCCGTCTTGGTGCTTTCCACCTCAACCGCCTTGGTGGTCTCGACTCGGAATATAGAGACAAGCTCTACTTTCTGTTCTTGAATTCCTTCCTTCAGAGTGTGCTGTAATTTTGACAGACTTAGCTTCGCCATGCCTTCAGTTGGCGAAGGAGGCTGCTCGGCTTCTTCCAACATGTGGAAGTTAGTTCCTGTTTTATCTTCTTCTATATTATGACTTGATTCTTCTATCATGTCTTCCAATGTACCCTCAGTTTCCTCAATATCTTCCTTTTCCTTAACATCCTTCATACCTTCTTCCTGGATATGTGGCGTATCTGGAATCCCAGCTAGTGATGGTTGGCCAAACTCGAAAGGCACTTGCACAAAGATCTCATGCTGGAAATCATCCGTCTGTGGATGAAGGGATTGGTTTGGTTGATTGGAATCCTTAAATTCATCATTGGTTGTTTCTGGATCATCATAGCACTGGATGAGAACTGCAGGAAGTGAAAAGGACATGGATGGGACAACATTATAGACTTGATCTAGTGCCTCAGAGGACCGCTGGGTTGATTGTGATTGGGGGATGAATAGAATTAATGGCTGAAGTCCAGACTCTTCTGTTTGTGGTGAATTACTGGATGACATTGACTCTAGTGGAAGTTGTTCTCCGAAGGGAGTATCTGAAGGCAATAGAGAACATCCAGTCTTGGAGAAAATCCGGGTGGACTCTGGAGAACTGGACAAATTTTTGGCAGTCTACGAAAGAGTGGAAAAGCAAAAAAAAAAAAAAAAAAGCCATTTCAAATAATTTAAGAACTTTTAAGCAAGAATGTAAGTTGTAGGCATTAAACATTTGTTTGCAATTATGAATTAGAATTTTTACAGACTAACAAAAAGTGTAGGATGAATGGCACTTTAAATGTAATTGCTAGAGAAATTAGAAATCATTTTTTGATTGCAAGTAGTTGGATAGTCAACAGTAAACTAATTTGCTAATGCATATTATCATCATTATTATTGACACCAGCACTACTAATATTAGTATTGTTTTCATCTGTTTAATGCATACTGTTGTTTCAAACCATATTAGTTTGTCGATCATTACTAATAACTGGTAAAAAAAAAAAAAAGTAAAAAAGGATAATTTTATTAAAAAAAAAGAGACAATTTAAATGAATATGGAGATGTCTATCACTGTTTTTACAGATTTTGACAAAAAAAGAGAAAAGGTTAAAACTCTAAAATGCTAAGTGCAAATGGGAAAGTGATTTGTGTTAGCATGAACCTTGTGCCAGTTCCCCTTAGCCTTTTTCACACAAAATCATGCCAAAAAGGGAACATTGCACCAGTGAAAACAAAACCTTCAAAAGACTGTTCTGAATGTTTGAGACAAAATTACCAAAAAATTAAAAAACAAAAAATGATCAAGGTGATGCAGATAATGTAAGATTGTTGTTTAGCTCTATAAATTTAGTCTGTTTAAACTTACATGGCAAACATGCAACAATACTGACAATATTTACATAGAACATACACAGAATTAAAGCAATACAATTTATACTGGTTATTTTTCACAGTTTTTTGTGGTAGTTTTGTGTTTACTTCAGTTAGGCAAGGTTTTTTCATTCCAAAGACTCCCAGCCAAAATAGTCAATGAGAAAACAGCCCAGGAGCCCCCCCAAAAAACAGCCCAATGTTCATACGTTTATAAGATATTCCCATGTGGAAAATATCAGGAATTTCAATTCAGATTACACTACCTGACTAAAATGATTATATAAATTAACATATGTAGTATCAACTGAGCTAATTGTTTTTTAAAACTCAAAGCATGAAAACGTACTCGGTAACTAACGTAACCTCGGTTCCCTGAGAGAAAGGGACTTCAGTCCAATGGCCGAGCATCTCTGAACGCGTGATCAATCAACTGTCTTGGCGCCGAGTGCGTCAGAGTGCGCCTAAATGGGCGTTGGTCTAGGCCTATGAATATTACTCATTTCGGCCAAAATACCAGGTTTAAATCGACTGAAGCGACATATCCTGCCCGATTGCAATAGTGCGTCAGGCAATACTCGTTCCCTTACTCTCAGGGAACCAAGGTTACGTTAGTAACCGAGTACGTCCCTTTTGAAAACGGTCACTTCGTATTGCGTAGCCAATTCGATTTTTCGAGGAAAAGGAGTTTCCCCACTGCATATTAGCTACGCAATATGAAGTGACCGTTCTCGATAGGGAACAAACACCTTCTACATGGTTGATCTAGATTTCATGTATAATGAGTCACGATACAGGATGCACCTTACATGCAACACAATGAATGGGTGACATTAGCAAGGCGTTAAATTAGCAAGTCACATTCACATTACCTAAGTTGATGCTGAAGCTTCAATGAGCTGTTCAGGTGGACAGATGAAAAGAATAACAATATCAACAAATACACATCTAATATTTGCTGGAGAATAGGTTAAATAATAATAATAGCTAATTTACAAAAATGACATTGTCAGCATGATACATTTATGAAAGAAAATACACTTAAATAGATTTTAAAAGCAAATTTTTATATATTTTAACAGTAGTTAAAGGTCTACTAAGGTAAACTATCCCTTTAATTTAAACAATTAAAGGGATAGTTTATACAAAAAAGTCTGTCTTCATTTACTCACCCCCACATCGTACCAAACCTGTATGGCTTTCTTTCTTCTGTTGAAAATTTTGTTTTCTTTTTATAATTTATCAGTGTTTCTCAATTCATTTTTCCTAACATTTTTTTGTGTTCAGTAGAAGAAAGAAAGTCATGCAGGTTAGGGATGCCAAATGACGATAGTTGTGCAAACTATCCCTTTAAGATCTCGGGTAAAGAAATAATAACGTGTCTGTCTATCTATTGTAATGGGTTGCCCACAGACCAGAAACCGAGATGGTGATGCTACAGTATGCTATTGTTATAAATACCAGATTCAGTTACTTAAAACAGCTGCAAATCAACACACTACAAATAGACACAAGCAAGTGATTATTGGGACAGTGAAATGTCGGTGTGATTTTTAACAAGCGAATTGAATTGTGTGAGTAAGCAGGTATGATGAAAACCGACATTATCAGTATTTTAGCTATTATTAAAAAGACAACTTAGTTTATATCAAGATTCTTGATTTATCTTTAGTCTAAATTGCTCTGAAACACTACAGCTTTGCATCTGCTGCAATAGTGACAGACAGAAATGAGTTCTCTTTCACTTTTTCATTTTCTCAAAAATGAATTGTCAATATGCCTATTCAATATAATGCAAACAATTGAGAAAAAGCATGTGTAACAGTATATAGGAGCCTCCGGTCTTGTGACAGCAGCCTAAAAACCTGCTACAGTCTGGGTTTTTAATATTAATCGAACAACAAAGGACTACGAAGAAAAAAACAGTCACTATCCTTGACTGAATAACCTTAGTAACTTTAATAAGGATTAACATTATTTTATAACTGATTGTACACTTTAAAAATATTTTAAAAAATTAGGCTAAATCCCAATTCACCCCTTGGCCCTATCCCTCCGTTTTGAGCGTTCACGTCTAGGGGTAGAGAGTCCCGATTCTTGTTGAGATCGAGGGATAAGGCGATTTTTCAGACGCACACTCCAAACGGAGGGCTAAACATTTAAATTTAGCGCCAGATAACACCACCATGCACTTTATTTACTCTTATAATAACACTAAAGACATTTAAATTAAGAAATTGTATAATAAATGACCTTCCCGAATCAGAACATACATTTCGAGGAAGGAATGTTATAATAATCATGTTTCCTCAAAGATAAGAGCAGCTGTGCTGTTTGTCAGTCGATGGAGAAATCCTGTAAAAAACTCCGTAACGGCAGAGCCATGATCGCCGCCGACTGATGACATATCGGGTTCATGAAGGGTTGTTCCATTTCGTAGGGGAATATTTCAACCCCATGGCCTTTGTAACTCTGTTTTAAAGACCAAGTAGTACACTTGAAAACAAGGGGTAGGGGCAAGGGGTGAATTGGGATTGAGCCTTATAAGAGTATGGCTAGTAGTTCTTGGTTACATGGGTCAAAAACAACGAATACAATTAGGCCTATTTTATTTATTTTATTACTTTTTCTGTGGAGGGGTCAGTGAAACTTTTGGTAAAAATTTGAGCCACTGACCCAACTGGGCTAGTACAAAAAAATCCTTATCGTTGAGCCCTGCAAAGACTCACTGTAAGCGAGTCTAGACAGCATAGAGGTCAATGAGTTTTCCGACAGACCGCAACAAAAAAAATGTCGAAAAAAGGCTGCTACACCACATATGAAAACCGTCATGGAAATCTGGTAAAGGTTAGACACAGAAGGGGAAACAATGTTTTGTTTAAACTTTTTTTTGGTATGTTTGTAATACACCATGTCTTTTTCCACCTGCTATCCAAGCAGAACTCAGAACGGATGATAATAAAGCAAACTTCACTCACCTCGATGTCGATATCTGGCTGGACAATAGGCGGCTGTGCAAAAGAGGCTTGATTATCTGCTTCTTCACACTCAGTGCTGCTCAGATCTGCTGAAAAACAACAACTGAGGAATCAGAAGCATAAAACGACGAACCTGACATTTGTTTGTTTTATTTATCTCAAGATAAAAAAGCTAGTGGATCACATTATGACACTTAAAACATACCATCTCTTCCGTCATCAGAGTCATTGTAACCAATCTCGGCTCTAAAAGGAAGACACACACATACACACCAAAACAATCATTCTTCAGCAGCACACATTGATAAACAGTTAATATTTGAAAAGTATAGAATTTAATCAGTTACAATTATTATATATACAAGACTATTAATTGTTAATTATAGAATGTTTAAAGGAATTGTTCATCCAAAAAATTAAAACTGTCACCTTCATGTCGTTCTGAATTTGTCGTTCTAAACCTGAATTTTTTTCTGTGAAACATCAAAATTGAAACGTCTGTTTTTTGCCCATTCAATGGCAACTAAAACTGTTTGGTTACCAAAATTATTTAATATATTTTATTTTGTGTTCCACAGAAGACAGAAAGTCATACACGTGTGGAACTACATGAAGTTGAGTTAATAACAATTTTTTTCTTTTTTTGTTTTGTTGAACTATCCCTTTTAAAGCACAAGCATAATCCATTGGCCAGAGTTGGAAATGGAAAATAACTGTGACCTCTGTGACATTTGTTACTATGGTAACATCTGACCGCCTCCAGAGCTATTGAGATATCTTTTCAGAGATGTGGGTGAAGACTGTCTAGTCCACACTCCCCCTTAAACCCCATGATAGATCCTATGATGGGATAAGGACCTGTCCAAATATTACACATGCGTTCTTGCATGTTACCAACATTTTTGCAGAGCATCCTGGTCAGATGTTCAGGGCATGTGACTTTGTAAAACTTTTCCACTTCGTGATGTTGCGTGAAGTGGTACAATTGGCATCCTCTTCTATGACCTTCTATTTGTAGCATGTTTGAGCAATGTAATAGAAACAAGACTTGACATTTGAGGAAAGGTTGTGAGCAAGACATGCGAGTCTGCTTGGAACATAAGGTCGAAACTCATCTTCTGACTTTTATCACTTGACAAATCAGGAGTTCCATGACATTGTTGTGTCTAAAAAAGTTTTCATCTGGGTTCAGTCTTTTTTCCCCTCAAACTTTCTTTGTTGTTGTGTGTATCCCATCCCAGACAGAATGTGAAAGTGAAAATAATGGGTAAAAAGATTGTCTCCAAGCATACAAAGGGAACAGGCGTAGGTTTGTGTCTGCTTTTGTTGGTTTGTTGTGTCTCTACTGTGCAACCCCCACAGAAAAGTCAGAGGTAAGGTCTCAGTGCACTAGAGCTGAAAGCGACACCTGTCTTGTCCTATTTTCATCCGCCCTCCTCACACACCCTTGAATGGCTGCCATTCTCAAAAGGGAGGGAGGGAGGGGGTGGGGAGACTGCAACCCCAAAACTCACACAATATACAGATGCTGTATAACACAGGCCCAGTATAATCCAAGATGACGTTATGTTGTTCCATCTTTAGCACCAGGAATTTTTAAACATATGATCATGATATTGAATAATTCCAATATTCATACACTGCAAAGGCTGCATGTAAATGTAACACGGATCGAGAGAATTATGCAGCAATTATGCAGTAATTGAAATAAAAGTTTCAGTAACAACATCACTATTTTTTCTTTTAAATATGAATGCAGAATCATTAAATCATTAATGTGAATTAGAGCCAGACCGATATTATCGGCCGATATTAGGCATTTTCCAAACTATCGGTATCGGCAGTTATAATGGCCGACAAATGAATATTTCAAAAACAAAATAAAAACAGACGAAACACGCTTGAACCGTGTCATGAGTGTCGGAGTTGTATAGTTTGTCCACCAGAGGGCACTCTACACCGTTCCTGTTGGCAACACTCGTTGAGTTGGTCACGAGCCATACATTGCTTGAATAACAATTAAAAGAACATCCCCATCAGTTCTCTTAACTCAAATAAGCAGGACAAAATTTATGACTATCATGTCCAGTTTAAAAAATAAATAAATAAATAAAATATCGGCCGATATATCGGAATATCGGATTTTAAAACAAAAATATTTGTATCGGTATCGGCCTTCAAAATCCTTTATTGGTCGGGCTCTACTGTGAATCTAAAGTTATAAACTACACTGACAGTCATAAGCTTCATTGATGCTGCTCCACTTGATACTAGGGCCCGGGGTGGCTCAGAGCATCATATTTTAGTATTTTTATTTGGTATTGCTTTTTTGAAAGGCACAGAGTAATGCACTCTCTCGCTCCAGTATCTCTCAGAGCATGGTTTCGCTCACACAGGTAAGCAGGGAGTGGGGAATGCAAAACTTGGATTGGAGCTGTAGCGGAGGGATCACAGAAATGAGTGATTGTCTAAATATATCCGCTCCACTTATACATGGTGTTCCAGACAAGATTTTATTCTGCCCTTTGCTTGGCGACATTCAAATCTAAAAGCTAATTTTGTAGTTCTTTTTGTGCTCGGGTTCCTACCCAAAACCTGAAGTTACAAAGTGATAGTAAAAGCGATACAGACACCTTCAGGCTACGGCAGACGTGTCATTCAACCTATTGTAAGTCGATGTACCATCTCAATGGGTGTTGGTAATATATTATAAAGGTTGGAAAGTTCCACAGTGTGGCTTTAAACGTATAGATTCATTGATTCTATCATTTCATATTTCCAAAATGTTATATAAAAAATGAATCTCATCACATTATCAATGCTATCGTAATTGCAGTGTAAATGCATCCATGGCTCCTCTGCATTAACAGTCTGTGTAAATAATATCTAATGCCATTCAGAGTCAGCGTCTGCACGTCCCACATCTGCAGTGTGATAAATTGTATTTTCAATCATCAGATTCATTAACATTGTCACTCTACCTTAGATTTAATCAACCATGCTTTAGATGTAATCACTCTGTCTGTTTCTGCTAAGGTGTGTCTGCCAAATGGCCCATTCAGATGTACAGTATGGCCCACAGAAACTGATTGGTGTGAATGACAAAGAATCAGCATTGCTCAGAGTGGATTAGCATCTCCTGTGGGAGGTCCTAACAGGTTTCTATTGTTTGTAGGCCATAGTCTTCTTTGGGTTAAGATTGTTGAAGGGTGACATGATAACATCACTGCTGAAGGACTGCTATAAATTCTTCTCCCCACAAGAACTGGCCAAGCTTACTTATTTTATGTATTGGAGAAATCCAATACATTGGCGAGCCACCGAAACCACTGCTCGGGCAAACACCAAAATCTTGAAACTGATTTTATTTGCCTAGTAACAGCCCTATAGTAGTGCCTTATTAACTAAATTGACCAGTTAAACTTAAGAACTTATAGCCCACATTATGACGCATATAGCCTACTATTTAATAAAGTTTTTAAAAATGCCCCAGGAAATTAATTTATAGCGGAAATGTCACTTATGTATGGTAGGCCTAAACCTATATAGCCAAGTAAAATAAATCGTGATATAAGATTTTGTCCACATTGCCCATCTCATTTATTTCCTGTGACACCCGTCAAGTCACGCCCACAAACCTCTTGCGTAGTGTTTGGTCTCACCACAAGGTGTCACTGTGCCCTCAAAGCTTCAGCACTGCCACTCTGAGCTCGATTGCTATGTCTGAGGTAAAACAAGCCCCCTCATTAGCATACAGAGCAATAAATGTAATGAGTTTTTTCCTCCGAAACCCGACTGTTGGTGCGCACTTTCCGTTGACGGACAAAATCTTTTTACTGAACAATTATATTTTATTGTTTTGTTTGAAAGGTAAATTGCGCGGAAAGGGAAAATTCCTTCTTGTTGTTAGAAGGTAACTTATAAGTTACTCCTGACTGCTGGCTAAACAGAGATTCAACAACAGCAGAGTTTACCTTTGTCACACAACAACGTCCATTCATTGACGCCCACTTACCGGTACCTGGGAGGTTTCAGGATTCCTTTCAACTCAGTTTTCTCCTCTGTGGTGGTCTGGGCTGTTTCGTCTTCATATGACTGTAGGAGAGTTACCGAATAATTCCTGCCAGAGTTGTTCGCCCAAAACTCTCCATCGGACGTCTCATAACGTACTACAAAATCAATACGCGCTCCACTGAACAGGTACGGTGATGCGAAAGACAGCTTCACGGAGAACTTGTCCGTTTCTATGTCGTTGGAGCCCTGGACATACTCGCCTGGGTAATCATAGTGATTGATCCAACCGTCCATCGTGGAACGGACATAGACTGATTTGTGAAAAGAAATGTTGAGCACACGAATAATCACCACGAAGGCCAAAGGCTCATCAGGCACAGATGTCACGCTCTCCACTTCCAGCTTGTTGGTGTGGACAGCTTGCGAGAGCTCCGTTTCGGCGAGCACCTGGAACTCTGGCCAAACTCTGTAAGTGGGCTCGCGGTAGGCTTTTCGGTACCACGCTTCCTCTTCCTCCCATCTCGCATCGTCCTCCTCATCTGAATCAAACGGAGCAAACGTTCTGACATCAAACAGCTCGGCTCCCGTGCTGTCTACGAACGACACTCTTCTGTCCGGCAACGCCAGGCGAATTCGCATGTACTCGGCGGTTTCATCGGCGATCGAGGAGCCTCGCTTTCTGGGAACAGGGGAAGACCTCGGTATTAGCCGGACGTCTTCCTCTGTTTCTTCCTCTTCTTCATCGTTACTGTTGTCTTCGGACCGCTCGACCTTCACCGTCTTGAAAAGATCCTCTTGTGAGGGGATAGTAAGGAAATTACCATTATTCCCCTGCGCCATTACGTCTGTTTCTGAGCCTCGTAAAACATGAAAGGTGCCGTTACTGCGATGGTGCGCGTTCGTCAGACCGAGCTGCCGTTCATGTGTCAACGGAGACCCGCGAGGGTCTCTCACCTCGTTTCGACCGAACTAGGCCTGAACTATTGACAGAAACGAGAACAACAATTTGGAGAGCATAGTGCACCGACACGAATGAGTGTCTAAATTTAGAATGAAGCGGCACGTCCATCGTTTCCCAGAGGTCAGGAGGAGGAAGATGGGCTCTGTTGATTATCCCTCCCCTCATCTCTTGTTGGTCGCTCCAAACCGCACACGCCCCCCAACACTGTTTTCAAATGTATAAACGCGCTCATTTGTTTGCTTGTAGTTTGTTGTGAGCATAAATATTGCAAAATACTATTGTCTGCTAATAACAATTAATATGCATATTCATTGTTATTGTTATTATAATTCATATAATGATGATGACGATAATCATAAATGATCATAATCATCCATTTTATTTTTCAAATTTGTTGTTGATTATAATGATAACAAAGAACTTAAAGGGATAGTTCACCCAAAAATGGAAATTTTGTCGTTATTTACTTCAAGTTGTTCCGAACTTGTACAGTATGAGTTTTTCTTTCTTTCATATTGAACAGAAAAGAAGGATATTTCGAAGAATGTGGGCAACCAAACAGCCATGGACTCCATTGACTTCCATAGTAAATTCTGTCAAAAGACTGGCAGTGTTGTCTAACTTTAAATGTTCAGAAAACTGCCTGTATATATTTTAAAATTAAAAAGGAGATCCTACCAGATATAATGGTGAAACATTACAAAATGTGCCAGATTTTGATATCTTGGAGTTATCTTAGACATTCATTTAACATTTGAAAAGCATAATTTAAAAAAATAGTGTGCGCAGGGACAACTCAACTTATAAATTTTAAACCTTTACTGAGTCAACTTTCAATGAAAGCTGCAAGAATTTATTTGCATTCTTTGATTTCCCCCCTCCCTTTTATTACTGTATCACAAGCAGTAAAATCTGCTCTTAGACCTTTATATACTTTATATAAAAGTGCTTTAAAAGGATTTGACAAGAAACCTAATAGATATCATTGTTTTATTATTCAAAATCACAATTTTTAAATTTTGACAGTTTTATTTTGTTTTATAACAGTTTTTTTAACGTACAAAATTGTTAGTAATCTTTCACCCTCATTTGTTTTTTTCACATACATTAAATATTAGAAAACAAGAGCTTTGTAGAGGTGACTGCAGATTTTTCTAAGAGCTATTAATAACTGGAATAATTTACCAATTAATATTAGTCAGTGTCCTAATGTTGTGCAGTTTAAGTTACATTTAAATATGTGGTTAAAGTGTAAATTGCAGGTAAAATTTTTCATGGAGATAATGGAATGTGCTTATATAAAGATAAGAACCGAACCGCCCACAATTGTTTTTATGTTTTTTTTTTATACCAAAATCCTACATATAATATGAAAAGTTGGTACGTTTTATAGTGGTTTTAAGCATGCCCCCTCCCTTCCACCAGCACTAGGCTGGGCATGACGTCATAAAAGGGATAAGTGCAAACAAAATTGAATCAAGACAAGCCGTTATGATGGTTAAAAAAGCATTTTGATTCCTCATTAATAAAAATTAATATTAAAGCACAGAAGTCCATTAGCTTGCCTACACTGACTGCACAGATTATACAGACAAACTTTTTGATCACAAAATCCAGTCATATGCAACTGCTCCATAGAAACAAAATAGAATAATCACTAAGATAATGAAATCTAATGGTGACAAAGAATAGCTGGCATATTCGATTACGGGCCATTGCTGTTTAAAGATATTGATTGGTAAGCTATTTTAACCCCTAGATGGAGCAATCAGTCTTGCTTAACATAGTGAAATCAATATGTGCAACAGGTTCAGCATTAGAGCTTTGGCTTGTTGTTCATATAGTCCGGGGATGGACGTAAACCCTTTTCGTCTAACCATGAATAACATTTAGTCCTTGAATTCTTATATTTTAACACAAGATATCTGCTTGTCAGCTACAAAGATCAGATACGATTATAAAGATGACAAAACCTTAAGATTATAAAGCAGACTTCAAGAATAGATGTTGAATAAAAATAATTCCATTTTTGCAACCTAATTAGTAAGTATTACACTATTGGTGTCTTTTGCATTAAGGCAGAGAAGAATGACAGCAAAAATCGAACAAACATTATACAGTTTGCCTCGTAATCGTTTTAATATTGAAGTTGTTATTTGTATGTTTAAAATAACTCCATAGTTCATGCATGCTGCCTGCATCTAATAACTCATAGTCAAGACCACCTGACATTGTCTGCTTTTCATGTGCTGTAAAACTTACATTGTCTGTCTTAAAAAGAGATGCTTTGTGCTGCATTTTGACTGTGCTGACAGCTTTTTTCAAATTGTATTCTGAAACATCTTCCTTTTTTCTACTGTCTAGGCATGCTGAAAAATCAAGAAAATAGGGAAAAAAAGTCTTCAATGGGGATCGGTTTTGTTACAACTCTCCCCACTTCTTTCAGGTATTGTTGTTGAACGAGGATAAGAAATAATATTGTTATGTTTATGATTATTATGATAATGCAATTATGATTTAAATGCATCCCCATATTTCCCTACAAACACAATTTCTATGATTAAAATATATAAATAAACAACTATGCAGACTTGGTTCAAAAATCACTTACAGCTTATGTCTCGATACTCTTGAGTGACATCAGGAACAAAGTGGGTATGTACTCCAGTGACTTGTGTTTTTACGACTAACCCTGTGTTAAGATTACACCTGCTTAAAGACACCTCAAGCATATGACCCCTTTCTTTAATCTTCAATCTTTTTTTATATTGTTAACCAGTTGGTTCTTTGCCCACCAAATGTTTTTCTTTTTCATTTGCTGACACAAAACTTGAATGAAGACTAGGAATAAGATATGGTATGAAACACGATGATGTTGTATAAGCCACATAGAGTTAAATAATAATGCAAAACATCCAACCTGGAAGTGGTTGAATGCTTTGTTTCATTATTTGTCTCGACAGGGTTTATATGACATCAAATGGTGTTTAATTCAGCAAGCAGAAATAGTTTTTTTTTAAGTTGTAAATTAATGTAGAAAAGCAGAACGAGGTGCGATCATAGAAGATAAAGACTTTCAAAATTTATTGACAAAATAATGTTTTATATATAATAGTCTTTTCATAATCATTCTGCATTGATACCTTATACACTCCAACCAAATCAATAATTTATAGGAGCAGATAAGTTTAAAATATTAAGATAAATGGTTTGAATCTTTGAGCATGAAACTGCATGTCCAAAAGAATGACCAGTTATCAAATGTTTTATATATGAATTGAAAAATTATTTTTAGTTTTTTAAACGTATAATTCTGACCCTATATAGTGTGTGTTTTTAATATGAATGTGCCTGTTGTTGAGACCTTCAAAAATGTTTTTAAGTTGTATAGTTTTGTACTATCAGAAAAGACTGTAAAAAAAAGTCTTGCAAGTCTACATACGGTATGTGCTTGGGAGTGCCATTATTGAAGAACAATTTGTTCAAAAACACTCAATAACCTTTTTCAACCACAGGATGAGGATGTTTTTTCCTGCGTTATTCTAATCGACACACATGCTATGTACATGTACATATGTTCGGTCTCCCCCCAGAACACGAATATAACGTCACACACCCTGCAAACGGACTTTCCAAACACGTAATGGGTTATTTTCTATGCAATCTCATTTTCCGGTGTTCCGGAATGGACTACACCTGGTTTTCATTTGAAAGTGGCGCAATATCCCGTATTTGGTTTAAGCACAGTGCAGAATTGTTATTTAATTTTTAATTTTATTTATTAGTTAAATGTGACTTGAAACATCATCGATGAAAATACGTTATCTTAGGCTATAAGATAAGTAGGATGTTTCCAAATTAAACAGCATGAATGAGGTGAAAGGCAGATATCTGTCAAAATGAAATTGGCTGAATCTTTTGCTTTCTTGTGGTTAAATGGACCAAGAGATGTTCGAGATTTATTTGGGCTTAGATTTAATAATTCTTACCAATACACATACAGTATGTGACCCCTAACAATGTACAATATGAAAGCCCTCAGTAAACACTCAGGGGGGAAAAATGCTGCAATGAAGAATTTCTAAAATAAGAAACAGAAACAACAAATGCCAAATCATTTCTGAAGAATTTTCAGAAGAACTTTGAAAAACGAGCAAGAAGGTGGCTGGGCGCACACTGTATTCAGCACACACTACAGAAGTCTATCAAAAAACTAATTCTGGATTGCATAGTGCAAAAAGGGCAAAGTTATTTAAAAACAAATGAACAGGAGCAAGATAGCCTGACTAGCAGTACTCTGTAAATGCACACATGTATATACAATATTAACTTACGCGCACACGCACACACACACATACACCAACACCCTGTGAGGCATTTCCACTAAATGTCATGCTAAACATTATAAAAGGGGTGACCCGAACATTTCCAGAGCATTCGCCCTAATAATTGCTCTCTCACTCACATCTATCCAAAACTCGCACCAACAGGTGAGTTCTTTTTTTTACTTTCCTTCTTTTAACCTTGTTGTATTAAGTAGCTACTTGTTTGTTTTTTGGAATAAATATGGATTAATATATATGTTAATATAATAAATGTCTTTTCAAAACTGTTTTTAATATCTGTTTAGATTATGATTATTGAAAATCTCACATTGCATAATCAAATTTAGATCCATTTTGGTCAATTTTTAACACTCAAAATCTGCTTTCAGTTCGAAAGACAAGTGTTTTAATAATCATTAGATGTTTCAAAGCTAGATTCTTTTGCCCTCTGATTGGTTAAAATAATCACGCACTTCTCAAACCAACCACTGAATTAATTGTATTTCATGTTACACATAAAATAGCATTGAAAATCAATCAAGGTGGTGTGACAATTTACATACGCTTTACAGACAACACTGCATTATGCTGTAGTTTTTTGTTTAACCTGACAAACTAACACTGCTAGGCATAGGAAAAAGAGACGCGCAACCAAATGGTGTGCTTTCCTTTCCTAAAGTGCAGATGCAGATGAGGTCTGTGGATTTTACAAACTCAGTGTTTGGTTTTTCTTTCCTGTTCAGAGGCACCACAACCATTTGCTGAGGAGAACGCATAGGAAAACGCACAAGCACACAGACTGAAAGTCTCAAGGAAAAGCGCGACAGACAAAGAAAAAGGTGTGGGAGGTAAAACATCCTTTCTTCTAAAGAGATACTGCAGTTATGATAGTAATTCCATCATGTGTTAG